CTAAGCTGTATTTGGCTCTAAAAAAAATATGAAATTTCGAGCAGACTAAAGACACAACCTACCTCCTTAAATCTTGGTTCATCGGGAAAGAGATGGTGTCCTAACACATGAGAATAGGTGAGAAAGCCACTAGGGGGACATTTTGAGCTTTCAAATGGTTTTTAACATGTCATATATTGAAGTAAGTGTATATAAGGGACTGTTCAAAAATGGAAAGAGGTGAGCGGTGCCACTGTGTTTGATTCATTACATGAGTGATATATCAGCGAAGAGAAAAGATGGGAGGTTCTGATTTTATATTGTAGCTTGTTAATATTGCTAATTTGAGTTCCTAATTCATACAAAACTACAGACTTAGTATTTTGACATCACAAATATCTAATCTGAACCAGTGCTGCATTCAACATACCGCATGACACACAAAAATTGATGTTTAACTGTTTCTTTTAATATTTACTTTTAGATTAAGACATCAAAAATAATGTATAATATTAAAATTTGAATTATAATCTACAGTTTGATAACAAACTTATTGACATAAATTCATGAAATATTAGTTCAATAAAATTTTGAATGCAAGTCAACAAACAAGATGGCATGGCCTATGACCTGTGACCGATCTAGAGAGAGATAATAGATGTGTTATTGGAAAGCCTGCATGGAGGAGAAGTATCTTTACGCATGAAAGTCTGATGCCTGAGCCTTTTGAAATGGAAACTACATTGCAGTATTAACGTTAAGATGACTTGATATGATGACATCAACTGCAATGATGTGGTGAGACTCCAAAGTCATTTTAGTATAGTGTACTAAACTTTTATATAAAACCTTATAACACAACAGTATAAAATATAAACAAATAAAAGTAACCATCTTTTATAAACTGATAACAGGCTAGTACATCTAATAAAATTATACAACCAACTACTTCTCATAAACTGATAACAGGCAAGTGCATTTCATAAACTGATACAGCCAACTACTTCTCATAAGCTGATAACAGGAAAGTACATCTAATAAATTGATACAGCCAACTACTTCTTATAAACTGATAACAGACAAGTACATCTAATAAACTGATACAGCCAACTATTTCACATAAACTGATAACAAGCAAGTACATCTAATAAATGGATATAGCCAACTACTTCTTGTAAACTGATAACAAGCAAGTACATCTAATAAACTGATACAGCCAACTACTTCTCATAAACTGATAACAAGCAAGTACATCTAATAAACTGATTTAGTTTATTAGATGTACTTGCTTGTTATCAGTTTATTAGATGTACTTGCCTGTTATCAGTTTATGAGAAGTAGTTGGCTGTATCAGTTTATTAGATGTACTTGCTTGTTATCAGTTTAAAAGAAGTAGTTGGCTGTATCAGTTTATTAGATGTACTTGCCTGTTTAACAAGCAAGTACATCTAATAAACTGATACAGCCAACTACTTCTTGTAAACTGATAACAGGCAAGTACATCTAATAAACTGATACAGCCAACTACTTCTTTTAAACTGATACAGCCAACTACTTCTTTTAAACTGATAACAAGCAAGTACATCTAATAAACTGATAACAGGCAAGTACATCTAATAAACTGATACAGCCAACTACTTCTTGTAAACTGATAACAAGCAAGTACATCTAATAAACTGATAACAAGCAAGTATATCTAATAAACTGATACAGCCAAGTACTTCTCATAAACTGATATCATCATTTGTATTACATATTAAAGACTAAGCACACATTTGTTTTTGTTTTTCCAATAAACATCAGAGAATAGGTCTAAAATCATTCAACAGGTACATTTCATTATGGTATTTAGATGAAACTACTCACTTTCCACAGTATCTGTATACTGCATGACTTCTGGGGTATCACCACAAATAAATGAATCAATGTTTAATAAGAGTAAAGAGAAACTTGGTATATTTCTAGATATTTTTTTTACATCAGCAGTCATTAAACCCTACACATGAAGAACCAAACATCTGGCAAGCTGACAGTCTTTTTACAGTAGACAAAAGTGAAACATTAGAAACAACTTTTAGTTATATACCTCAAAAAGAATTTACATTGTTTCTTCAACATGTTCTGATCATTGAAAGGACATTATCTCTATTTATAGACTCCAAAGTATTTGGGGTGCAACCTTTATTATACAGGCTTTAGTGGCTGGTGATTTTAACAAGGTATTATGAACATTTCAATCTACTCTAAAATGCTTAGATACTCTTTTTTTTTTTACTAAATGACTTCAGAAATATCTTTGATTTAAGTTTAGGAAAACATAAATAAAACAAAGGTTAAAAGTGCTAACAAACTGCTTATTAAAGCAGTCCCTACCTCTGTTACAACATCCTTAACAGTATAAGCAACAGTTTCCCACTGTTCCAGATTCATGGCATTTCCCATGTTTTGCTCCAGTATTCCTGAGATCTGAATGTAAGAAAGTTTGTTGTAAATGCACATAAATCAGCTGAAGCATGAAATAAAAAACAATCATAATATATTAGGTCGTCAAGAAATTAATGTCGCTTTTTTTAGATGAAAAACCCGAAGAACTTGTATGTCAAAACAAAACATTTATTAAATGAAATAGTCTCCATTCTTATTGATGATGTTTTTCCATCTTACAATCAGGTTGTTAATGTCTGGATCAAAGAAATCACTTGCCTTTGAAGCAAAAAGCGTGTCAATGTCTTTAACACCTTCCACATTTGCATACGTTTTCCCATTAAGATGGTGTTACAGTGAATGATAAAGATGGTAATCTGATGGTGCCATATTTGGAGAATATGGTGGGTGGGGAAGAACTTCCCAACCCAACTCCATAATCTTGTGTTGCATCAAACGTGCCACGTGTGGACATGCATTGTTGTGGAGAAGAAGAACACCTTTTCGATTGACGAGTGAAGAGCATTTTTGATGAAGGGCTTGATTTAAATGTTCCAGTTGCTGACTATAGATCTCTGCATTGACAGTTCACTGTGGATTGAGGAGTTCAAAATGAATTACTCCTTTGATGTCCCACCAAATGCAAAGGCCTCACTTTCTGTGGATGGAGTTCAGGTTTTGGGGTCGGAAGTAGTTTTTGTCTAGGGCTGGGCCATTGTTTTTGGCGTTTAATATTTGCATAGAGAATCCATTTTTCATCACCAGTGACAATTCTGTCCAAAAATGGTTCATATGCATTATATGCCAGAAGAGACGAAGCAATGTTCACACATTGGAAACGATGATCATCGGAGAGTTCGTGAGGCAACCAAACACCTTCTTTATGGAGTTTTCCCATATTCCTTTGATGTTTATGTATTGTTTCATGAGATTAGAGACATGCAATTTCAGGGCCATTTCATTGCCTTGGGTTAGACTCGACAAGCGTCTTCAGAGCATCAATATCAATTCCAATATGTCGGCCCTTGTCTTCACAGTTTTTAAGGTTAAAGTCACCTGAACAAAATTTGCTGAATCATCATTGACAATTACGAATGTTCAAAACATTTCCATAAACTTATTTTATATTCTTTGTG